TCAGGGGATAAACCATCAACCCTGCTCAATGGCCAACTTTCCTCGCGGGGTCACCCATAAAGACAGTGGAAGGGTTCATGATCCTCTTCTCAATCAATCAATCAAAGCTTTATTTATAAAGCGCCTTCCACAACCCTGTCAGGAAGCCCAAGGCGCTGAACATGGAACAGTACAAAGTTAAATAAAGTGAATAAATCAGAAAAATAAAAGCAATTCAAATTACAGAATACAAATTACAAAAAAGGTGAAACATTCTAGTAGAAGACAAATGTGTAAAACAAGGGAAAAAGTGAACCAATGAAAACTGTGAGATAAAGTCAACATAAAAGAGGGCCAAATTCAAACATGTTCAGGAAACGCCAAGCGGAGGAGGTGGGTTTTTAGGCGACTCTTGAAGACTGGCAGAGATGGGGACAGCCTAACTGAGGGTGGCAACTGGTTCCATAGTGACGGTGCTAGGACTGAGAAAGCCCGGTCCTCACGAGTACGACACCTAGAACGAGGGACAACGAGCAGGCCTTGGTCAGAGGAGCGCAGAGCGCGTGATTTTGGCTTAAAGCACCCATCAGGATTAGTACCTTCACCAGAAACCTGCAGTCCTCTACATGTCTGCTGCCCCCTGGTGGCAAGGGCTCATTTCGTTCATTTATTATCGTTATATTGTTGAAGAATTGTATGATAAAATAAAGCAGTTTATTTTTAGTGTTAAATTAACTCAGACGATGAAGAGTTCGGGTTAAAAGACTAGGTGACACGTCTTTTTTGTCTTTAAAAAGAAAGTTTGCAGATTTCTGTCCCATGGTGAGCTGCCGCAGGCGTGAGAACATATTTGTTAGATGTGAAAAGTGGATTTATTTTTATGTTATTTATGAACAACTTTTAGGTTTCAGGAGATTCTCTTCTCTTAGGCTACTAAAGCAGATGGTTTCGTAACTTATTTGTGTTCCAGGCAGTTTAGCCGAGACTAAACCTTCTGTTTCATCTAAAATGGATTCACATGAACTAAAACACAGGCAGTAAATGGGACTGGACCATAAACTTCAGTGTAATTCCTAAAAACTTTCCTAGAAAAATAAAACCAACCCTAATAAGTGAAGTTTGGTCTGACTGAGTTTTATTAAAGTACAGGATCCAGATCCAACCAGAGCGGCTGAAGCCTGAAGGAAACCTTCTCAACCCGCTGGAGCTCCTGAACGGGTTTCCTGTTGAATAATTCTGCTTTCCTCTAGAATAAACACAGCTGTGCAAAGACAACACAGGCAGGAAAATGCACAAAGATACGTTTCAGCAGCACCCTGGAGCTTAGACTTCCTCTCTCGCATCATTTCTATTATCGTTCTTTTATTGCTTTATAATCTGCCCCTTGATCTCACCCACCCCTTTATTTTCTCTTTTCTGATGTCGCTCTCCAACTCCAGCCTCTCTCTGTTGTTGCTTATTTTCCTCGACTTGCCTCTCCAGGATAAGACAACAGGCAGGATACAGTGGGTGTGATTGATGTCTCCTACTTCACCTGGAATAAAAATCCCCATCAGCTGACTGCTGGCGAGTAACACCTACGCGCTAATCCCCGTCCACGGTTTAACAGGTCCTCTGTCATGCAGGGCGACCGGGGGGGAGACGAGTGGGAGGGGGGAGAATTGGTTTGACAGACGGCTGAAAGAGGAAAGGAGGTGACGGGTAATCACATCGGAGTCATTCTCCCGGTGGAGAATGGAAGGTCAGGAGGCCTCGGCGCCAGAGGAAAAGGGATGCAATTACATAAAAGTGATGCAGAGCATGACCTTGTTAAGAGAAATCCACGTTTAGCAGCAGGAGTCAGGCAGGCCAACGGACCCGTACTCTCCAGAAGAAACAAGGAGGGGTGAGAGGGTGAGATGGAAGGGTGAGGGTGAGGGTAAAGGTGAGCGGATGAAAAATAACCCTCTCTGCTACTCCTGATTTATTTGGTTTCAGGTAAAAAAGAAACAAGCGACTGAATAAAATAAAACCAGGTTTATGCGTCAGCCTGAAAACAGCGAAGCTCGTCTCTTCTGCAGAGAAAATGGAAACGATGGAAGAAAGAATCGTTGGTTTGTCTGCCGAGGTTTGGTTTGCTGCAATAGGAGCAAGTCATTTCTGGATTTAATCTCTGGATGATAGTTAGGAGACGACACATCTGCACATTTGAAAAAGAAAGTAATGGATTAAATATTTAACATCACATCAGTGGTTGTTGAACCTGTTATAAGGGGAATCTGTGTAAATAATGCCCAAACCAGAACAAGAATCACAGGATTTTAAACTAAAATCATCCCTAAACGAATTAGCTGTAAATATTTGAGTCTTTTCTTCTGACATTTATTCATTTGTTCTTTAGAAGATTAAGAGATTTGGAGAAGAATTGTTGTTTTAAACTTTTATTTTATTTTTTTATAGTCTGTTTCAGGTTGCCCGCCTTTATTCAGCCTCCAGCATCCTTTAATAAATCATCATAATTAGTAATTCAGTCATTAATTGGATAAATCTGCCCCCATCATCCTGATCTGTAGTCCTGGGTTTGTTGCTTAGTAACACTTTAAATGGTCCCAGAACTGTTTCCATGCATCCAGCAAACTGTCCTCTCCACAAGCTGTTACCACTGTCACTTCCTAGATTCCTTCAAAATAAAACACCACTTAAAATTTACTACGGCTTTTAAATCACCTTCAGAAACAACATAGTCTGGCACTGGGAGATCCAGAACATCTTCGATTATACAAACTAATGAAACTCAACAAATAATAATAAATAATCAACAAAGCAGCCACATAATCAGACTTTGACCTGAACCACTGGTTCTGATCTTGTTGGGAAACATTTGGGTTTCGGGCTACGTGAGCTTTAAACCCTCATGTGACTGATCCAAAATAAGTGTGAGGGTCCAGCTGGACCTGTGCTGCTCACCGTCTCACGTTCCTCTCCTCAGCCATGTTCTAATAATAGGTTAAAAAGAAAAAAGCCAAACAATAACAGCAACCTTTTTGCGTCTGTAGCCATGACAATAAGGCAATTTAGTCCGCCTCTCACAGCTTCCCAGCAGCTAATGGGAAGGGATAAGTGGGCAAAAGTGCAATATGGGATCATCACACGGGCCTCCTGCAGACAGAAGACCTGGGGCCAGAGGCAGAAACGCGTAAAAACACGTCCTCCTGCTTTTCTCTGCATCACGATCAAACGTGAGACTCTCAGGAACTCGGACCGGGTCAGTTCAACACGGGGATGCTTCTGAAAACATCAGTTCTGTCTTTTAATCTCATTTGCCTGTAAAAGTTTACTTTCACCCAAACCGGATTATTTCTTCAGGTTTTAGCCGTTAACGTGGAAAATCCCTGCGATTAGAATCGTTTTAAAACGGGTCCGGCTGTGATTACGGTCTTTCAGTTCAGAAGTAATTTTGTCTCTAAAATGAAAATTTTCACGATAAAAAAAATCTGAACGGTTCCATAAGAATAACCAGATAATGGGCTGCAGCGAGGCGCCGGAGTGTGCGCACGCACGGCCGATATTTAGACTAATTCAACTTCTGGGTGGTCAAATGGACGGCGTCTGTTCTTCAGCTCTTAAAAAATGAAAACCTTCACACGACAGCTGTACTGGACTTATTGTTTTGGAAAGGTACCCCAGGAACCCGACAAGTTCTGCTCCGGTGCTTTAGTCGGTCTTTTCTGCTCCCCACGGCTCCTACTTCCTGTGCAACACATTCTCACTCCCAGCGCGTCAAAAACAAACGCTTGGTCAGCCACCCTCCGCGTCAGACCCCGACGCCAAAAGTGCCCTTTTTCGTTACTTACGTGCGAAAAGGGGTTTTTCCCTTATTTGACTGCAGATCCCAATGCAGCGTTACACTGACGCGATGGGATGTCCGCAGCCAGGGCACCAAACAAGCTCATTGTACCTCACCCTAACCTTATCCTCTTGTTATTTAACCTTCCCCTCACCCCTATCCTGACCTGAACCATCTTGCTAGCGAACACGTTGGTGATGTGTCGGTCGTTCTAAAAGCCGGCTCTATGAAGTGAACGGCGGGAGCTGCCTCGTCATTGGTCGAGTTTGGACCAAGCCAACGCGAGGGGGAGGTTTCAACTACCACGGTGGAGGTTAGAAGTAGAGGGTATGTGTAACCTCCCCCTCGCCAGATGGTATGTTCTAACGTTCCGCTTGGGCGGCAAATACGAAAATTCACAGTCAGAATGCATGGGAAACAGACGCTTGATCACAGTGAGAGTAACGTTTTAGGTAGCAAGAGGGTTAAGGTCAGGATGAGGGAAGGTTATAAATAGTGAAACGTTAAGGTTTAGGTGCGGTTAAACGAGCCGGTTCAGTGCCGCATCAGCGGACATCTCATCACGTCAGTTTTATGCTGCATTGGGATCTGCAGGCAGAAAAGGGGAAAACCCCTTTTCGCACATAAGTAACGAAAAAGGGCACTTTTGGCGTCTGGGGTCTGACGTGGAGGGTGGCTGACCAAGCGTTTGTTTCCGACGCTTAGGGTGTGAGAATGTGTTGTCCTGTAACAGGAGCGCCAGAGCTTTTTTTTTTAATTCCACAAAAACCGACTCAAGACATTCAAACTGGACCACAGCAGATTCATAGGAATGAGTATTTTTACCTGCACATAACTTTTCATGGTATTTACTGTAGTTTTGGAGACTTCACAGCAAACATAATGGAGTTGTACCACAAAAGATCGAGCAGGTTATTTCCTCTGCAGGCGTTTCAGCAGGCAGACATTATTATTATTTCTGATTCTTCAGGTCTAGACGGCCAAACAAGACATGAGTTTCATGGGAAATAATTCAAAAATCCCATTTATGATCCGTTCACGAGGCCGTTATGACTGTAGGAGGGTGCAGCTTGTGTCGGAGGCACGTCTGGAGTTTTTTTTCTTATTATTTTTATTAGACCAAGATGCTGATTCAGGAATTGTGTGCTGCTGCATAACTCTCAACATTTATTCATTCAGTGTGTGGTCTACTTACTGCGCTGGGGGTGCCATCTGTATCGGTTAGTCTCTGGTGCAGATCAAACCAGACCGTCTGTAAACAGAAGCACAACAACAACAAGAGCAGCGACACGTCAATCAACGAGACCAGAGACAGCAACAACTACAGCAGCAGCGCGGCGTGCACGTCAGGCAGTCACAGCAGGAGGTAGCGCACAAGCAGGAGAGCATGAAGGGGTTTGGTAGGTAACAAAAACCATCCCACAACACGACTCGGAACGAGACTAAAACACGAGCCAGCAAAAGGCACTTGATTCAAATGAAGTTCTTCAAAGGCAAAAATCAGGAAACAAGAAAAATATGAGTAACCGAAACGGTAAAAATGAGCTTTAAAACATTTAAAACTGTGAGAAAAGCAGAATGTGATGTAAGAAAAGCTTCCCTCTGTTGGATGATTAGCTGCTTTTGAGAGCAAGTAGAAAAACCTGAAGGAACTTTTCGTTTCTAACTCTGATCCGTTTTTGTTGGAGGTCCTTTTTTAAACGTCTTAAAGGACAAAAACACGAAGCATAAAAGTGCACAAGCAGCAGAAATTAGCATGAAAAAGACGAGTAGGACTTCAGAGCCAGACTCTCTGGACTTGAGAAGCTGCTGGGAACAAAAAGATCGAGTGGATCGAAGTGATTAATGGTTTTATTTGTTATCGAAGGGCTTTTATATTCTCCGCCTGATTTTACAGAGCCGCTGCGGCGAGGCTCACCGGAGAAATATGATCTCTGAGCGCTTCTCGTCACTTCTGGCTGCAGTGCTGAAACTTGAACGATTTTTAACGGAACATCAGCTAAAACGGCCTGTTGTAGAGTCCAGCCTGGGTGTGAGCAAACCCCGGACCCGGATTTCTGCATCACTCTGGAACAGGATGTTTTTGATCGTAGAACAACGGTAGTTTAGTAAAGTACAGTTTCTCCTTTTGAAAGGACAGACGTTTCAGACATTTTATATGCTCAAAAAAGGTGAGTGGGCTATGCTCAAGACAGGATGATCATCAGTGGTGTCTAACCCTGGTCCTTTAGGGCTCCCGTCTAGCGTGTTTTGGCTGTTTTCCTGCTCCAACACACCTGACCTAATGCATCACCTGTTCATCAGCTCTGCAGAAGCCTGTTAATCACCTGCTGGTTAAATCGGATGTTTTGGAGCAGAAAAACCTCCAAAAAGTGCAGGATGGTGGCCCTGGAGGACCAAAAAGCAAATGACTTCAATGGATAACTGGAGTGCCTGAAGCACAGCATCACATTTAACACATAAATAAAAAATCGTCAAGTTTAAAAAAAATCTTCTGCTGAAAAATGGCAGAACAAAAGTTTTAATCCACAATTTAAAGATTTTAAGTAAATATCCGACATCGTTGGTAATGTAAACACTTAGCAGGAGGTCGTGTGTGATAAATATAGAACATTTATTATTTATTCATTTATTTTAGAAGCAGGACATTTTTTTCAGGTAGCTAAGGTACTTCCTGCTGAAGCAACTGTCCCACTCCCATCCTCTTGAAGTTGAAGCCATTCCTGTGAAGCTAATGTCAGCTAGCTGTGGAGGACGCCTTCATGTCTGAAGTCCAATAATTAACTAATCTCCACTAATTAGAGACAAATCATCAGGTTGTAGGTCAGATGTTGCACACAGAGAATCTGCTGAGATTATTTCACTAGTGATGCGACGTTCACGAACGAATCGAATCTTTTCAAAGTGAATGATGAGAGCCGAGTCCCTGCAGAGAGCCGTTCATCTTAACAAACCTCCCTGGAAGTCGCTCAAACCCCACCCACTGCTGTGACGGACATAGGAGGAACCATAGATATGTATGTAACACATGTTTAAATACATATCTATGGGAGGAACGCTACCCAACCCCGTGCGCCCTCACGGACACCGCAGGAAAACGGGGGTCCAGCTTTAGACCCTCTTGGAACCGACGCCTGTAGATATGCAGCGGTTGCCAACCCTTCCAGTCTTGAGATACTCCCAGGTCACGACAGTTTATTGGCATCAGCGAGACCCTGAAGGGGGTCGTGACGGTTCAGCTTTTATTCTGAAGGAACCGTTGCAGCAGGTGGAACATGCAACAGATTTAATCCAGCTTGTCGTTGGGTTCTTTCGGCTTTAAGAGGCAAGCTACAGATTGGCCACTCCGATAACTTCTCTAGAACGCTTTGAACTCAAGTTAAGATGACGTGGGGCATAGTTTTACAATATGGATGTTTTGATTTATGGTCGAATCAGAATTTGACAACGAAAAGGGGATTTACCAAGCACCAACAAAACCATGCCTCGCGTCAGATCTGGAAGGTTCTGATTGGATCAGAAAAAGGAAATGTGTCATGTGACTTTTAGCTTTACGTGTGATCAGTCTAGTGTAACATTTAAAGTTATATTACTTATTAAAATACTATCATAGGATTATAATATCAAGTAATTAATATTCTCGTTTCACAGATTGAACCTTGAGTCTTCTGATTATGTGATTATTATTTAATAGAGAAATAGTTCTGATTCTAAAAGATACAGATCTATGGGAGGAACGCTACCCAACCCCGTGCGCCCTCACGGACACCGCGGGAAAACGTTGCTCGATAACCCCCCCCCCCCCCACACACACACACACACACACACACACTCTCTCTTGGCTTTACTTTGTTCAAAGGAGCCAGCTCTTTGAGTTAAACGACCGACTAATGGGCGGCTCCCATGATAGAGCCATACATCCCATCACTAGATTTCACGACTAATTTCAGTGAAATCGACACAAACCTTACGGAGTTGGTTGATTGTGTGGTTATCGTCATTAACCCTTTAGCCGAGCTTTGCTTGTTTGTTTTGCTTGACGTCGAAGTTAAAGCATTAAAATCCATCCAGCTCTTCTAGCACACACATTTACTCCAAATCCTCAGATTTCAAACTGAATCTCATGCATCTGATGAGCGGTGAGGCGTTCTGGTCTACAACAACAAACTGAGTAACTGAGTTTTTTTCATTGATCCACTTTCTACTCTCTTTAGACAAATATTCTTAGGCCTAGTCCACACGTAGCCGGGTTTTTTAAAAACAAATATCCGCCCCTCCAAAAACTTGCATCCACACCACCGCGTTTTAAAAACAGACTCTGTCCACACGTACCCGGATAAATACGTTGTTAAGGACATGCCAGACCTGTAGGTGGCAGTACTTCCCCCGTTCTTAACCTCGTCCTTCGTCTGTGGTCTTCCACAAGGAGCAGTAATTCCACTTGCAAAAACAAACAAGCAAAAAGCGCTTGGACAATTGATAAAGCGAGCGCAGCTCTGAGGGCTTCCATGATGTCAGCTAGTGTAAACACAGGTCGCACACGTGATGTCAGCATTTTTTTGTCGCGGAAAGTGACGTTGCGGACCTTAAAACTCCGGTTTTGTCTGTCCACACGCAGACACCCAAAACGGAGAAAACGCAGATCTTCACTTTGGCCGGAGTTTTTAAAAAGATCCGTTTTTGTGTGAAAAAACTCCGTTTTCGTGTGGATGACAGGCCAAAACGTAGAAAAATATCTACGTTTTGGCAGATCCCCGGCTACGTGTGGACAGGGCCTTAAACTTCACCTGAAACTTTACCAAAACCAAACCAGAAACACAACCTTTAACCCTCTACTTGAGAATGACTCGGATTATTTCTCTAATAAATGATGGTAACCATGATGATGTTTGCAGACAAAGACACAGCTGGGAGAACTTCATATAAACACTGATTAGAGACGTTTTGGTGGTGGGGGTGGGGGGATTAATCAGGACACAATTAAAACAGCTCCTCAGATGGATGTCAGCAGAGCCAGGTGGGCCTGACATCACCACAACGGCGTGCAATGACGAGACGTTGATTTCCACTTTTCTCCTCCACTTTCACAGCCTGTGAGTCAGAGCTACACAAACAACATCTGAGCTGCAGGTTTCTGCACGGAGGCGACGATGAGGAACACAGTTTGTCTGCACGCCATCACACACACGCACGCACGCACGCACGCACGCACGCACGCACGCACGCACGCACACACACACACACACACACACACACACACACACACACACACACACACACACACACACACACACACACACACACACACACACACACACACACACACACACACACACACACAGCAACACGACTCTACCACTGACTCTGTTTGCTCTGCAACGTTGATGTTTTATCTCCACAAATAACACAAGTCTGGAGGAGTTCTGCTGTGTGGTGGAGTTGCTAATGCTAATGGTTAGCTTCTACTAGCTGGGATATTCTCTGCTGTTTCCTGGACGCTAAACCAACAACAGCCTTCCCCGTCGTGAGTCAGATGGGTGATTCCATGAATGTTAGTGACAGTGTGATGTAGATCTGTCAGGATTTTCTATCCTAGAGTTTCACCGACTGTTTTCTATCAGAAGCTATTGCAGGAGATAGGTGTAGGAGACTATTTTCATGTTCAGCCTGCATGAAACACTCAGTGACCTGTTACAATCAGAAATAAACATTAAAACATGGCTTTTCAGTGAACAACACTTAAACCTTAAATTCTTCTAGGTGTGGACACCAATAAATAAAAGTACTCCTTACTGCTTTATATTTAAGTACTAATTTTCTTTTCTGATTAGTTATTGGATGATTTAAAAAAAACATGAATAAATGCCGATTAAAGGCTGGACTTCACTGCTTAGCAACAGAAAATGTCAGAAAAGAAAAGAAACAGCTTTTGCAACGGGTGCCTGGAGGTCCAAACAGGGTGTGCAAAATGTGCTTTCCCCCCCACAGAATCACCAGGAGGTAACATAAAATGTATGTTCTGCCCTCTTTCTACCAGGAATTAACACTAAACATGACTTAAATTTCATAAAAGGTCTACTTTCTTGAAAAGGCTTGCCAAAATAAAAGCATGCTCCGAAAGCACAATGTGACAAAGTTACATTAATAGTTTGATTACATCTCAATTGAAATCTCTCATAAACAATTCCAACCAATATGTTCATCAGATCGATATATGCAAATATATGCAATATATATATATATATATATATA